TAGCTCATCTTCTGCTGCTTTTAGCTCGTCTTCTGCTGCTTTTAGCTCGTCTTCTGCTGCTTTTAGCTATTTCTAGCTTAACCACCTGGTTTTATTCCTAAATCCTCATTTTTCACTTCTCACAGATTTGTCTTTGAGCGATCTGAGAATATTTATATTTTTCTACTTTTAAGTGTTTTTTTTTTCTTATAACTAATTAATACAATCTGACCTCTCTGTTTGTGTCTCTGTCTCTCTGTGTCCATGTCTCTGTGTGTCTCTGTCTCTGTGTGTCTCTGTCTCTGTGCGTGTCCAGATCCAGCAGGGCATCGTTGTGTACGTGTGTTTCTTCCACGGAGCCTCGGAGGCCGTCACGTTCGACATCGGTGAGTTTCTGTTTGAACCTCTGAGTCTAAATAAAGTTTGGAGCTTCAAACCGACTCGTCTGGAATGAAGGAACTTCTTGTGACGTTGGACGTTCATTTAAAATCTCTTCTTGTTCCTCAGCCAAGAAGCTGATGACCACCAAGTTCTTCCGGAGGGACCGGCACATCGTGTCGGTGTTGGACCTGCCAGGCAGCGTGCTGCTGATCCCGCAGGACTCCCTGGTGGGGCAGCCGCTGCCCAACAGGAGGATGGCGTTCCGGGGGGGGTGCGAGATGTGGCTGGGGGCCCAGCTCTTCTCCCGCCTGGTGTCGGCCTGCAGGGAGCTCCTGAACGGGTCGCCCAAGAGCGCGCAGGCCGGTACCACGGTGGAGTACGGCGTGTACGGACAGAAGCAGGAGATCGTCCTGAACTCCCCGGAGCCTCTGTCCCTGCTGCTGGACTTCTGATCCAACACGCGGTTCTGTGGCCACGGGGCGGTTCTGGACCGAGCAGACCTGGATGGATTCTCAAGTCGTGGTCTCTCGATGTGGTTCTGTTGGCACCGGAACCCGGCAGCACCAAGTACCGCTTCTGCTGCTACACAGGAGGAGCTGGGTTTTCACTGAGCAGAACCTGGACCCAGTAGGGACGACGAGAGGGGATCAGGTCTTGAAACCAGATCAGGAGGTTCTGGTTCTGTTCGTGATGACTGGACTCTGGAGGAACCTGAAGAACTTTGTTTTGTTCAGTTTGTTTGACAGAGATGATGTCAAAATAAAACGTTTCCAGCTCTGGATTTACGAGGGTTCAGAACTTCTGACTGTGGGACCGAACAGCGTCTCAGAATCAGAACAAAGTTCTGGGTCAGGTTCTGGGTCGGGTTCTTCACCTGGTGTTCAGAAACAGGAAATAATTTGAGGATCAGACCCAGCTGAAACTTTTCAAACCGTCCGTTTGATGCGACCGATGTAACGTGTCAAACGTGCGCTCAGCTTTTACAAACACCTGTACCGTGCACGCTCGTTTCTGCCATGTATGGCAGGCAGTTTCACCATATAATCAAATCACACGTCCATGTTTACTGTTGATCAGAAACATTTTATCTTTATTTTTATTTATTTATCCTTTAAAAAGACCAGAACTTTAAATTTCTGTGACTAAATAATTTGTGTAAATTGTTTTATCTCAGAGCGTTCCCCCTGTGGTAACGAAGCCAGGGACTCCAGTTAGCAGCAGTTCTGGACCAGCTGGAGACGTCTCATGGGGGACAAGACATGGAGACGAGACACGAGTCCGTGTTTCAAACTTGTGTTGAGTGAAGAGACTTTGGTTCTGTCGGAGCTGAACCACGGATCAGAACGTGGAGTCCCCAGAGAAACCTGACGGGGCGAACATGTAAAGTCCACCTGGGAGGAGAACCTGCAACCTTTGCTGTGCGACAACTGCTGTAACCACTGCACCACCACGCTGCTCTGAGCCAACCACTTTATGGATTTTGATATTTTTAAACATTTTTTTTAATTGGCAACATTTGAAATTATCTTAAATTATTGTAAATATTTTATATATTCGTAAAAACGTTCTCGTCGTCAGCAGAACGGCTTTTGTTGACATCTAAAACCGTAAATGAAGAAGTGATTATATGGTAAAACTGCCTGCCACAGAGGCCAACTGAGGTGCGTGTGTGAAAGTTGAGCACACGTAGACACATTAACTTCACGTGCACGCGCCTCCCAACTGGTTAGCACTAAAACGACTCGTCTGTAAGTCCCGGTCTAAACTTTCTCCGGGAGTTTGGCGTAATTTCAGGAGAGCTTTTGTTTCCTCCACAGTTCTGCACGTGCGACTCGTCCTCAGCTTTACCAGAACATCTGGGTGGAAACAAAATGTGAAAATAACCAACAAACGTTTCAGACTTCTGCCGTGAGGAGCCGTTCGCTCCAAACCGAGCAACTCAAAGACTCCAGTTTTCTCAACTACATTATTTTATGGAAGAAACAAAAAAAGTTCCTTTTAAACAAAATTTCATGATCAAACAATAACTTCTGTCACATGTTTGAACTGGACTCCCTTAGAGGTGCCAGTTTTTATGAAATGAGAAGAAAAACAAATATTGGTTTGACACAGATGAGCTGGAGCGCCGCGGTGTTCTGGCTCTGACCCGGTTAGAAAACACTTCAACAAGAGCACGCTAAAGTCCGCAGGAGAGAAACGTTCAACCAAAGAGCCGAGTCGTTTCAGCCGAAACCTTCAGGTGCTTCTCCGCACAACAAAAACAATGTTCTGACATCACAAACGCCGGTCGTTCAAATAAAGAATACTGTCCTCAAGAAGCTCCATGAAGTCCGGTGGGCTGAACAGAATCAGAGCGTGACCGCAGCCGCAGAGGGTTGTGGGACACGTGTTGTGTTCGAACTGAGCTGCAGACCTTCAGCTTCAGTTAGAATTCAAGTAATCAAATCATTTAGCTGCTTTGTAGGAGCTGGGTTCTGCTGCCTCCTCTGTTGGGTCAGAGTCCGGTCCGGTGGGAAGAAATCCTTGAAGGGGGGGAGAGACTTCAACGTGTAAAAATATATTTAGTGTTGTTGACTTCCTCATAATATATTATTTAGTCCCCCCCGAATCATTACATTTATGATCCTGAAGTCCTAAATCTGTCACTGCACCCTCAGAGGTGACGCTCCTCACAGCAACAGTCCGCTGAGGACTCGTGTCCGCTGCCGGGTCTTCACGTGTTTAAGACTGTCCCTCGGTCTGGTCTCAGACACCCCCTCAGTCCCCCTCCCACAAACAGTCGCATTCCCGCAGGAGGTTCCTCTGCCGCATGGCAGTGATGACCGTGATCCGGTTCTCGGACAACTCCCGGAGCTCGTTGATGAGCTCCTGAACGCAGGGGCTGGGCCACGGGTGACCGTTCAAGTAATCCCTCAAGATGAAGGAGCGCTCCACCAGGAGCTCCAGCTGCACCAGGTGGCGCAGCTTGTGGAGGCTCAGGAGGTCCTTCTCTGGCTCCCGACGAAAAAACCTGCAGGACAGGAGACAGGAAGTCGTTACAAACTAGTCTACAGTTAAAAACCTGCAGGACAGGAGACAGGAAGTCGTTACAAACTAGTCTACTGGTAAAAACCTGCAGGACAGGAGACAGGAAGTTGTTACAAACTAGTCTACAGTTAAAAACCTGCAGGACAAGAGACAGGAAGTCGTTACAAACTAGTCTA